TTTAGAGTAGGTTCTAAATTATTATATTATTATAAATTGTTATTGCTCTTGAAGTGCCGTAATTTGTTGTACTTTTGAAATCCAGGTGAATAAGATTTCTGCTTCTAGTGTTGTAGTTGTGATTTTATTTTCTTTTTTCCAACGCTATTGTAGTATCAAAGTATATCTACTAATAAGTAATTCGACTCGTTCCATTCCGTTAGTTTTCGTTTGCATCTTGCTTCCAAATTCTTAAAATATTCCATTTTTTTGTAGAAGTAGATGGTAATAAGAGTTGTGTAGGCAAGAAAGAAACAAAATATTGTAAACAAATGAGTGTATCAAAAACATTGAACTAAAATAAAATTAAATTAAGTTAGGTAAAAATTTTGTTATTTTAATTTTGATAATAACAAAATTTATTTTTCATTTTATAAAACTTAGGTAAAAAATTCGAATGTATGAAAGCAAAAGAGTTTGAAATTTCATGAATGAATGTACACATGCATGTACCTGGTACAGTAGATACACAGTATCAGGTAGTTACATAGAAATAAAGTAATTTATAAAGAAAAAAAGGTACTGATTACTTTATAAAATATAATTATTACCGGGAAATATATTATTCATGGCAAATATGTTCTAAATTTATTAAGATTGAAATAAAAATAAAAAATTTAAAGATAATTTATTTATTTTATTTATTAATTACAAATGCCTAACACTAAATATTTAAAATGTTTTCAAAAGTACATATTTACCTCTTCACATCTTTTGGCAACAAATGAAATTTTCGTGTCGGCTTTTTTCATCCCAAACACTTCAAATAATGTTTACCCATCTTTATAAAAAAAATAGTTTTTTCACAACTATTTAAATTTTTTTTTACTATTGTACGTCTTTTCAAAATTTATTTTTATTATTTGTAAAAATTATATTATATAAATTATAATAATTTTTTTAAACACTTTTTTTCTTCTTCGCTTTTATAATATAATACATATTTTTTGCCACCTTGTACTGGAATGAATTACAGAAATTATTGTGTCGCTTTTAAAATTCTTAATATTTTTCCCTATACTTTATATAGTCGCCGTAATAATAAAGTGTCGCCTTTCAAAATTACATTATAAAAAAACAGGTTGACATCTATTGCGTACTCTTTCCCTCTCCCAAAAATTCTTATGTGTATAAAAATGAAAATAAGAAAGTATACTGCTTAACTCTTTTAACTAAGGGAATTTTTTGTATACAAATATTGGTGAGTGATTGCATTAGTGTGATGTAAGCGGACAGTCGAACTACTTGTTAGTAGATATACTTTGTTGTAGTATTAATGTCTTTATATCTAACAAGTCCCAATACTCAATTTTTTTTACGAAATATTACGAATTTTTGGCTTCGTTGTTGGTTTTTTCTTTAAATGCCACTGATCGTGTCATATTTTTTATTATTTTTTTCTTTTTTAAGTAAAAAAGAGATTAATATTTTAAAAAATCTCAGGATATTATACACATTTTTCAAAAAGCTTCCCATTAAATTCTATTGCGCGAAAAAGAAAGAAAGGTAGGAGGAAAGAAAAAATGATAGAAAATTTCAAATTCATATTTCAGTATGGTTTCAAATGTTAATGAGGAAGGATGTATGATTTTTCATGCACATTTTGTATTTCCCAATAAGGTAAGTTGAGTAGTGTCGGCTAACAAAAATGTTAACAAAAGTAATATAGGTTGACACATTTCAACAATTTGAATTATCTCATTTCATTTATTTATACGTTACTTATAAAATTGTTTCAAATAATTTCAGTTAGTTTTTAAATTATTAAAAATAAATATGTATGTACCTACTTCCAATAAATTTTTTTTTAAATAATTATTTTAAAACTATTTCAAACATGTTATATTGAGTGCTTCAAAAATTTTGCTGTTCTCTTTTTTCATATTTCATTAGCAGGTAAACAAAAGCAATCTATTTATAAAATGTCCCTGCATGTGTATGTATGACCTACCTTAATTCTAAACGGAAAGAATTTTAAAACACCTGAACAAAAATTTTAAAATACCTGTTATTTTACAGTCGGAATTTTTGAGTCATTTGGTAAAATACCATTTATTTCAAAAATAGAAAAATATTCAAATCCGGTCATAAAAATATATGATTGTTTTTTCCAAACATTTTAAATATTTTTTTTCTTAGGTAATTGCTATAAATGATAGTAAGTTTTTAATATTTTTTAAAATAAAAATAGTGGTAAAATTTTGAAGTTTATATAAAATTTGTATTTAACAAATAGTATTTGATTGTATTTTAGATAATGAGCCTTATTCTAGTTGTCGAAGTAGAGCGACAATTGTCGTCACGACTTGAATTTGATATTCTAAATGGCGATTAAAGTGACACGTGTCGTGGAATAGCGGGAAAATGTGTTTCAGGTATATTCCAGTTGTCGTTGTAGAGCGACACATGTCGTAGTGAAACGACGTTTTTTGTCGAAAAGTATTTAACAAGTGACAAGCGAGATGGATACACCAAAAATGTAAGTTTAAACAAAACAATTTAATAAAAATATAAAAAATAATAAATTTTGTAATTTAATACATAAATTAAACAAAATAATATATGGTTTGGAAGTCTGTAATAGCTTATAAATCTGTGAATAAAATAAAATGTTTGTAACTAATGTATTTGAAAAAATTATTATCTTACACTCCATTTGGCAAATCCAATGGATTAGATAATCTTAAATTTTTTGATCCTTAATTGTTGTTTTTTTTTTCAATTTCATCACTCTCGGAGTCTGATGAATCCATAAACCATAATGCAAATGACGACATTTTTTATTTCCCTCGTATTTAAAAAAATAAATATATACACCGAATTTTTTTTTTTAGTTTGAACTTTACTCGCCAAAATTTCTTTTTAAAATGTATCAATTTCACTTGAAACGTTTCATTTTCGTTTATTTCTCGCACTCACGTCACTCGACAACTAGAATACCACATTTCAAATGATGTGACAACGACAAATGTCACGTAAGTGACGCGACAACTAGAATAAGGCTCATTATTTTCTAATTCCCTCTTCAAATTTTTTCTTTACTATGTATTTATATCAATATTTAAGAATTATCTTTCATTAATTATATTTTCAACTTGACACCACAGTTACTCCCCATATCTTGAGTTAACTTACCCTATGAGAAAAAAAAGCTGTTCACTTAAAAATAATAAAATGCTTTCAGTAACATATAAAACGTTGAAGGCGAAGGATGTGCTTGTTATTTTTCCGCTTTTTTTTAAATTTTAAAATAATTATCAATGAAAATATTAATATATTTTTTTGATTTTGCAAATATAATTTCTAAATTTTACCTGCTTTATAATAAGTGTGAATTTATTTTAATATTTCTTCTCAAAAAATAGCCACTTCGATTTAAAAAAACCCATATAAATAAGGTCGTGCTTTCAAGTTTCTCTCTGAGCATTGGGACTTGTTAGATATAAAGACATTAGTATTTAATATAATTTTATTAGGTCTTGTATCATTAGAATATTGTATGTTTTATGTATGTAATGAGTTCTTTCCAACCAGTTGAGATTATATAGATTTTTTATGGCCTTGTTCTGTATTACTTGCAGGTTGTCAATGTCTTTAGAGCAAGCTGTTCCCCATATATTGACACCGTAACTTAGGTGACCGTTAAAAAGTGTGTAGTATATAGTGTTTTTGACACTAAGGGATGCACGATATGAAATTTTGGAAAATAGTCCAGCTACCGAACTTAGTTTTTTACTCATGTTATTAAAGTAAGTGCTCCAGTTTAGCCTAGGGTCAATCCAGAATCCAAGGTACTTGTATTCAGCGACCTGTCCCAGTTTATGAGATGTTACACCCTGCGCTGAAAGTTCTACATTAGAACTAAAATTTCCAAGTCGCAGCGTTAAACAATTTGCCAAAACTTTAAAAAGAGTTTTGGCAAATTGTTTAACGTTAAAGAGCTACCATAAGAGTTTGTTTTTGTTTCTTTGTTGCGAGCATTGTCAAATTGAAATGGACATTTAATGTCGACAATGTTGTTTTTTTTTCTTGGAGAAGTAATGAACTTTGATGCAAAAAGTAAACAAAACTATAACTATATATAAAAAAGGCTATTTTAAATATCTTATGTATTGAACATTTTATTAAACACAAAGTAATTTTAGTTAGAAACAAAACAAAAACAAATGTGTTCTTCCCAAAGTTAAGCGCTTAATAAAATTACGAACAATAATTAAACTTAAAGCTATTAAATAAATGTTTTTTTAATTTTTGTTTTTTCAAATGGGATTTAAAATTTGGAACTATTACTATAAAACTTTCCCCAAAAGTTTAGTTCCATGGGCCATTATGTATTTTTTTAATCACTTATATAATAATAGTTCTTTTGCATCACTTTTTTATATTTTGTAATCGTTCATTCATTAACTGCACTAATTTTAAAAGAAAAATCACAAAATCTTATATTATATATTTCTAGCTCGTTGGACTGTACTGCTCGTTTAAAACGAGAAAAGTTTAAAATCAGGGGAAATTACCGTCATTAATTTCGCCGCCGGGGTGAAAAAGTCTAAATTCCTACTTTTCCTAGAGCTTTTTTTTGAGATTATCTATTTTTGTGTGTGTGAGTGAGGCTATATGCTAAATAATTTTCAATTGATTTTGCCGTTCCTTTCGTGATCGTGGTTAACAACAGAAATCATCCACCGATGCTGCTCACCGCTTTGGTTGTGTTTTCACAGTTATTCTACGAGTAATTATTAGAAAACAAAACTTTAAACTAGTAGCTTTATTATCTACAGCGCCTTTCATATTGTGAATTACACAGTGACATTTCTCCCTGTCGACAAAAAGTTGTCAGATTGTGAATTTTTTTTAAAAAATTGACGTTTGTAAAATAAATTATCAATAGGAATGGGGAATTCTTTTAAAATTTAAATTCATTTTGTATTAAATTTTTTAAAAATAAAAAATCATTAATTTTAAGTTAATAAGTTAATTACATATATAATTGCATAAGTTAATTATATATATTTTTAAGTTTATTAGTAGTTTTATTTTATATATTTATAGTTTTATAGTATATAATAATTATATTGTGTTTTTAGTTTATTGGTAGTCCTTTATATCCTTATACATATGAATATTTAACTTTTTATTAAAAATTAATGATTTTATATACATTATTCTGTAATAAAATTCTTAAATCTGCGACAAAACACTATGAACATTGTTTCAATTATTTTGAGTGTCAAAAGTTTTACTCAATAATAAACAGAGAGAAATATATCATGAAGTACCTCAATGTGGCAGAGAAACACGACGCAGCAAAAAATATTGCAAATATTTTATCAAATGGTTCAGCAAGAAGGGTAATGTATCAAAAAATCTTTTAAGAAGAAGTTCTTCAATAAATTTTACTGACTTACAGCGTGAAGGATTTTGTGTATACAATAAAATATTTGATTTTGAAACTAATATCAAAAACCAAAACTGCAAAATGGTAATGACATCTGTATCTGGTCATTTGTTAAATTATGAATTTCTTGGGCCGTACAAGAGCTGGAATAATTGCAGCCCAGAACAACTGTTCGATGCACCAATTAGAAAAACAATTTTAAACAACGACACAGGTGAAAAAATTAAAAAAACTTTAGAGAAAGAAGTAAAAAGCTGTCAAGGTTTAATTATATGGACAGATTGCGATCGCGAAGGTGAAAATATAGGTTTTGAAATTTTGGAAATTTGTAAAGCGGTAAAGCCTACTTTGAAAGTTTTTCGCGCAAAATTTTCAGAAATTACCAGATCGGCAATTTTACGTGCTGTAAATAACTTAGTTCAACCTGATCAAAGACAAAATGAAGCTGTTAATATTCGTCAAGAATTAGACTTGAGAACAGGTGCCGCGTTTACGAGATATCAAACTCTTAGATTACAAAAACTATTTCCTGAAACAACTGCAGATAAGTTAATTTCATATGGCAGTTGTCAGATTCCAACATTAGGGTTTGTAGCAGAACGGTATAAAGAAGCCGAAGACTTTGTATCAGAGCCATTTTGGAAGTTAGTTGTAACACATACGATAGATGACTTAACAGTGGAGTTTAATTGGGCACGGAATCGCTTATTTAATAAAGAAGTTGTAGAAGATTATTTATTACTTTGCCTAACTGATCCAAAAGCAAAAGTTGAAAATAAAAGTGTTAAACCTAAAAATAAATGGAGACCGCAACCTATGGATACAGTAGAACTTGAAAAATTAGGGTCAAGAAAATTGAAAATTAATGCAAAAGAAATAATGAACATTGCTGAAAAGCTATATAATAAAGGTTTCATAAGTTATCCTAGAACGGAAACTAACTCATTTTCGTTAAATTTCGACTTGTCGAAGATTGTACAGCAACACACATCCCACTCCGAATGGGGCGATTTTGCTCTTAGAGTGCTACAATGGCAACCAAATCCACGAAATGGCAAAAAAACAGATGAAGCCCATCCACCGATACATCCAATTAAATTAACTACAGGTAAGCAAAAAATTTGGAAATAGTATTAAAAAATAAATATGTATACATATTATTTTCAGATCTTAGTGGAAACGAAGCTAGAGTATACGAGCTAATCGTAAGACATTTCTTAGCCTGTGTTAGTAGAGATGCGACTGGATCGGAAACCATAGTTCATATTAACATAGCTGGCGAAAAATTCAGTGCGAATGGGCTTGTCATTTATGAACGGAATTATTTAGACGTGTATCCCTATGAAAATTGGAATTCAAAACAAATACATCACTACGACGTTGGTTGGTGATTCTAGTTTGATGTACAAATTAAAAATTTATCTTATTTTATGTGCTTTGGTAGAACAAGAGTTTGATCCGACAGAAATTTCTATGCGAGAGGGTAGTACTACTGCACCACCATTACTCACGGAAGCAGACTTAATAGCACTAATGGAAAAAAATGGAATAGGAACGGATGCGACTCATGCTGAGCATATTCACACAATTAAAGAAAGAGGTACAAATTATTTTGCAATTCTTAAATAAATATCAAAGGAGAAACACTTAAATGCTTCAGGTTATATAGGCGAAGTGGATCGCGGTTTATTAGTTCCTGGCACGATTGGAATGGGCTTGTATGAAGGTTATGGAGCAATGGATTTAGAACTAGCAAAACCTAGATTACGAGCTGAATTCGAAAGTGATTTGAAGAAAATATGCACTGGGGAGAAGGATTCAAAATTAGTTTTAAGAGAACAAATAGCAAGGTACAAGGAAGCATATCATTTAATAACTCAAAGAATAACTGCAATGGACGAAAAATTTTCGAATAGAGTAAACGAAACTCCGGCAAACAGAAGAAATAATGGCGACCAAGACCCCAGAAATGATGGGGCTGGTGGAAGTAGTGATGTGAACGGCAATAATGATAATGATGACGATGATGGTGATGACGGAAATATTCCTCCCGGGTGCGGTGGTAATAATTTTCGGAATGTCAGAACAGATTCTAGCTCTGATGGCATTCCTTCACCCTTACAAGAATTATTTTTGTGCCCTAAATGTAAAACATGTTACATGGTTTTGAAAAAAAAAAAAGAAGGAAACTCCTATATGATTGGATGCTCTAATTTTCCTGTGTGTAAAAATGTAATTTGGTTGACAGATGGAATCAAAGAAGCTCAATTATCTCATAGTTCCTGTAAACGATGCTACAATAAAAATTATAAGAGTAGTATATCAAATAAAATTGAATTTAAATTTAAAAACAGTTCATATCTAGCATTACTGGGTTCAACAAGTTTAACATACACGACATGCTTGAGATGTGATTCTAAATTTAGGGAAATATTTGATATAAATTTGGATCAAGTTAAATTTGTTGGTGCTATTGTAGGAGAAAATACCGATAATTTGCAAGGCAGTTTAGAAAAAACCGAACGCATTAAATCTGCTGCTTCTGTTATCAAACAAAATAAGGAATCTTTAATACGTACTTTTACTACAAATACTTTCAAGCAGAGCAATATGGAATCTAATATAGATTCATTTTTTGAAGATGATTTTTTTGATAATCACAATTTTGACGACCAATTCGATGAGGTTTTCATAAATTTGGAACCTGCTTTACAATCAAATAACGAGCCTAATGAGAACAATCTCAGTACAAAAAAAAAATGTAAAACTTTTAAAAGTCAGCAGGAAAGAGATGCTTATTTCACTGGCTGGAATAAATCGAGTAAGTTATCAAAAAATCCTATTAAATTAGACTCCATGCCCGACTGGGGATCATCATTCACAAATGGTTATACCACTAGCACATCTTCTGGTCAAGTTAGCAACTCTAAATGGATAGATTTAAGTAATGTTAACAATGAAAATAACTCGAATAATTGGTTTAACATTGGTTACTCAACAAGCAATAAAGTTGGAGAGCCATTTAAAAAAAAATACAAAAAAGACGTAGGCAAACAAACCGAATCTTTGGTCAAATGTAAAACTTGCAACGAATTGGCGAAAAAGTAAACTTATTTTTTTTTATATAAAAATTGATAAATAACATAAAAATACGTTTTATTAATATTTTTATGTATTATGTTACATGTGTACATGCAGACAAGTTGTAAAAAAGGAAGGCCCAAATAAGGGGAGAGAATTTTATTGCTGTAATTTAACATGTAATTTTTTTCAATGGGCTGAAGATAGTGCAAATGCTAAATCTAAGAATGAAGAGAAGTTTGGTTTAGAGTGGGGGTATGGCTTAGAGGGAAGATCTCGAAAATATGAACAACAATGTAATTGCAACAAGCCAGCCATTATTCGGCAGGTCCGAAAAGAAGGTTTAAACCATGGAAGATCATATTACGTGTGCTCTAATCAAAAGTGTTCATTCTTTAAATGGTTTGAAAATGAAGTGGAGAATTTGAGTGAAATAAATAATTTTTGGGGACCAAACAGTAAGAATGAAAATAACGCATTCATATATTTATGTGTATACATAATTTACATATTTTTGTGTACATAATCTAATACAGTAAAACCCGCTTAAGTGCGTCTCAAAAAAATCCAATTTTTTCCAAGCACTTATCCGAATAGAGCTCTTTACCGAACCCGTTTAACTTATACTTATATTGTATTAGTGATATATATTACATATGACCGCAAAAAAAAAATTTAAATGACTTAATTGTAAAATTCGATTTGAAATTAGACGTATGCGCTCTGTATGAAAACAATTTATTTTTTAAAAACTTGAAAATTATATTTTTTTGTTTGTCACCTACGCGATTAATTTGATATTTGATAGAACAAATTGAGAAAAATGTACCAAAAAATTAAAGCGGTTAAACGATTTGCGCAGTTATGAGAAACGCAATTACCCGATTTTTTTGACGTTGTATGTAATGAAAAAGTAAAGGTTCCAAAAAAATTGACAAACTTAAACGGGAAACGCGATTAAACGGGTTTTACTGTATAAACATAAAGTACGAATATGTCACTATTTTTACTTTTAGAAAGGAAATCTTCAAACTCAGCCACAAGTTCGAAAAAACGCAAATGTGGTTTATGTAGAATGGAGGGACACACTAAGAATAAATGTCCTAGGCAAGAAGAATTTTAAATATTTTTTAATTCAAAACAAATTTTAGACTTTTGAAAATTTGATTTTATTTGAATATGTAAACGAATTTCATTAAGGTTATACATTTGGATTAAAATAAAATTATCGAAATTTTTTTGTTATGTCGCAGTTAAAATAATACAAACGGTTTTGCTTCAGAAACAGAAGATTATTTTGTCTCCAATTTCTTTGAATTTCTTACATGTAATAGTTAATTTTTGAGACTTGTTGGAATCTTCGAAAAAAAATGATTAACAAACATTATAAAATTAAAAACTTTTCTATTTGTATACATATATATTGCAAATATAATAAAAATTGAAAAACAAGTGCAAAATATGTTAAATTTCTTCAAATAAGATAAAAATTGGACAAAAGAAAATGTTAAGAATGAATGCAGATATAAAAGAAAATCTTTATCGTCAAAAACTAAATCTAAGTATAATTGTAGATAAATCATATTTTGAATGTTTTAAATTAGACAAAACTCAATTTTTAAAGTTGTCTTGTGGAGAGCGTTTCGGCTTTGATGAATTTTCTTTTGGAATTGTAGCCCTTTGATCTTCCATGCGACCACTTTGAACTTTCATTATAAAAGAAAAAAAATCTTCATCTGGCACGGTAGCTCCAGCATTGGTTGAGGACGACGACGCAGTAATAGTATTATTTAATGCTTCTGCATCCATTGTAACATGTGCTTGTGGAAGCTCAGAACGTTGTTCTTCTATTCTAGAACGTTGGCAACGCATTAACATATCTAAAAATTCATCATCAGGAGTTCCGTTTATTTTAGTACGTTGTCTAACTATAGTTTTTTTCAAACCTGGCAAAATAGCACGTTGTTCGTCCATCCGTTCTGATTGCAAGTCAGCGATCATTTCGAGCAAATTGTGTTTATTTTCACCTTGATCATTTGTAGTATTTTGTTGGATCAAAGGTTTACGTGAAGATATATGCGGCTGGGAAATATCCTTCCCAATCATTAGCATCGAACATCTCTGATCATCCATACGTTTACTTTGCGATCTGGAAAGCATTTCGAAAAAGTCGTCTTCTTTCTCTGGTTTTACAAAATATTTTTCCTCAGACTCTTGTAATGAGTTGCTTCGTTTACCGTCTGGAGTTATTTTAATTAAATCTAATTGCTCCATGCTTTGGCGACGAACTCTTATGCATTTTGTTATATGTTTAATGTTACTAGCATTTTCATTTTGCGTAGATGTTGTATTTGGCTTTGTATTTGATTCTACAGTAACTGATAATATTTCATTATTATTAGCTTTCCACTCCGGTAAGCCTAAAATTTTTCTTAAATCTATGATATTAATTTTGGCAGTTGATTCACCAATTTGGTCAGTCAATTCGACAGCTAATCTATGATGTTCTTCCGCGTATTGCAAAGCTTTCTCGTGATTTTCCTCAGCAGAGTGTGCATTTCCTAAACTCCAACAAGCTCTGGCCTCTCCAATTTTATCACCTAATAGTCGAGCAATATCTAGATGTCTGTTATGATAGTTAATGGCAGATTTAAAATCACGTAACAAAGTGTATGTATTGCCTAAACTGTAACAAGCTTGAGCTTCTATAGCTTTTTCACCCAATTCGACTGCAAGAGCAAGCGTACGCCTGTAGTGCTCAGCAGCCTCTTCGAACTGTCCCAAAAAAATATGAGAATTTCCAAGGTTGCTATTAGCACGTCTCTCAGCTGCTTTGTCACCAAACTCTTTAGCTATTCGAAGTCTTTCCTAAAAATAAAGATTGTTGTTAAAACGGCGTACAAAAATTTAAAAATATATGTACTTCATGATGCTCTATAGCCATTTTAAAGTTGCCCAGTAAATAATACGTGTTTCCAAGATTCCCATAAGCCCTTCCTTGAGCGCCACGATCACCAAGTTCTTTCATCAAATTTAAGTTTTGTTTATAATATTCAACAGCTTTTTCTAATGATTCCTTAACAATATCAGCAAAATCGCCTGGACTTTTTTGACCATAGTGTTTTCCTTTTGCATGGTAAACATTGCCTAAATTGTAGAGGGCCCTTGCCTCAGACAAACGATCTCCAAGTTGCCTCGATAACACCAAATGTCGATCACAACATAAAACGGCTTCATCAAATTTTCCCATAATTTTTAGAGTATTACCTAAGTTTCCTGAAGACTTGGCTTCACCCAACCGATCTGCGAAATTCACAATACTTTATTAGTTTAAAAAAAATAGCAACCAATTTACCATTTATTGATCTAGCCAAAGTTAAATCCAATTTGTGGTACTTCATAGCTTTCGTATAATCCCCCATATAGAAAAAAGCATTTCCAAGTTGACTATAAATTGCACTTAACGTCCTTAAATCATCTGTACCAGCTTGTATAGCTGCTTGAAAGAACGCTATTCCAGATCTGCAATCACCAGCTTTACACAATCTCTCACCTACAATTTTATAAATTAAATGATTTGGAAATGGTATTGCAAAAATGTATGATTCATGAAAACCACATACCCTCTAATGCAAGTTCAAGACACATAGAGGATGCATCGTTTGACTGTTTTTCCTTATCCTGCTGCAATAAATTTTCAGCGCTAGCGGAAAATGACATTATAGAACTTTTTTAATTAAATTTATAGTGAAAAATCAAATTTTTTCCTGTCTTCACTAAATAGTTAATATAATATTATATTCATTAAATGTTCATTAATAAGTATGTATGTATGTATGCATATATTTTTTCTTTATAATAACGAATGACATTACACTGAAATTGACATTTAACTAAGAATACACCAGGAATTTCTACAGACACGCTGTACCCTAGTGCCCTGTTTATTATACCTTAATTTTTTTTGAAATTTCAAAGATTTTTTCCATTCAATTTGGTTAGGTATACAAGTTAAATTTCTACTTTGCAGTGTACATTTTTAATGTTGTTCCAATGCAGGGTGGCAGACTGCGACCTGAGGGACAAAAAAATACTAATTTTTCATTTTATGGCTCTCATTTTCGAGTTACGGGGTCGCAAACCGTTTCTAGTTTGTCTTTCTAAGACTGTTTCACACTTTTATTTTTACGTAACTCGAAAAATTTGACTTGGACCAATTTGCATACCTATATTTATTTCATTTGTTCAGTTTTAAAGATATTTAAGTGTAAAATCAAAAATTGAAAGTTTTTGTAATAAATTGTTCTTTAATCCACATTTATTTATTATATCAATAAGACGTTTATAACTTTTTTTTTTCTAGTGGAAAGTCAATCGAGCACGCTTTTCTTATATCTTCTCATATAAATAGTGCCATAAATAACCAATTAAATAAATTAGCATTTATTTTCAGCAATAAAGAGCTCCTTTTTAAGTTTTATTCCTAAAATGCAGCATAAAAATGCAATGTTGTTAATGACTTGGTAACGTTTGTTAAATATTAACATTTGCACAGGACTTTAAATCGAACTTTTCAAACAAACGTCAAAGTATGTAATATTGTAAAAATTTTATTCCAAAATGTACGAAAAACTTTAGTAATTTTTTTTACAATGTAAAGGTATTGAAAGCTCTAAGACGGTACTACAACCGTATTAATACCGTACTTAAATCTTTTTTACAGCATTATTGAAGTCGCGGTATGTATTTCCAAATATGTTAGAGCACCGTGCTTACCATTTGAAATTAAAAAAATAGGGTAAGAACAAGAAAAAATCATTTTCTAGTTGAACATTCCTTGCATAATTTAAAAAAGAACACTTTTGTAAATAAGAAAATAACATTTTCAGTATTAGCTACCTGATGTTCATTAATTACATTTTTTCAGAAAAAAATTGAATTTCATTATTATTAATAATAGTGTTAAAAATAATGAGGTCCGTTTATGATTTTGAAAAATATCTGGAAAAAAAATTTAGCTGCATTATAATTTTACATTCATTTTTATTTTTTTTTTTGTTGGTAATTCATAATCTGGTTTCTGTTTATTAAAAGTATAAAAATGGATGAAAAACAAAAAGTATCCCGCTATTTTACAAAGTGAAAAAAAAATTAGTGACTGTCGCAATTTTATAATGTAATTTGTGAGTGAGAAAAATATTTTCGTATTTTCGCGTCTCGATTTTTCAAAAATGTGTACAAAATTTAATCACTTTCTTTTGAAAATTATATGTTCAGTCGATAATTTGAGCAAAAAGGCCAAAATCAAATTGTAAAATTGAGTAATCTTTTTAGAAAAAGGACATATTCTAAGAAACAAATTTTTCATAGAATTTGAATAAAAAGCGAGACGGGAAACCGAGATACACAATTAGGCTGTAAATATTTATATATGTACATACATACGTTACTACATAGATAGCTTTGTACATATTGCTGATTAATTTTTTACATTATTTTTAAATACCTATATTATTGTTCTTATATCCAACAAGTATCATCACAGTACTCAATTTTTTAAAGTATCCCTCGACGCTCAATGGAAACTATAACGACAACGACTACATATTACGAAAACAAATTGTCGGTGTCGTTGAGTTAATGTAATGCAGTCGTTGTAGTTTGAAAATTGGCAAACTGAACATAGTGAAACTGGAACTCATTCAATTTATAAATTATAAAAAAAAAACTCAATAACTAGCACTTTACTGCTGAAATATGCGTGACTTCAATAATGCGCTTACGACGTAAGCTTTACAAAGTATTACATTCCAAAAAGTTTAGTAAAAGCTCTTGACATTGAACACTTTTCCAAAACCCGTTCTATGCGTAGTGGGTACGTAAAATAAAAGTAAATTGGATATTGAAAAAATCGAGCACGCTTTTCTTATACATGTCATATAAATGTTGCCAGAAATAAGCAATTAAATAAACTAGCACTTATTTAGCAATAAGGTCATAGTTATTAAGTTTTTTTCCCAAAATGGAGCATAAAAATACTATGTTTTTAATGATGTTGTAACGTTTATTGAAAATTAATATTTGCACAGAACTTTAAATTTAAATCAAAGTATATCTATTAATAAGTAGTTCGACTCTCCGTTTACATCACACTAATAAAATCACTCACCAATTTTTGTATACAATAAAATTCCCTTAACTAAAAGAATAAGCAGTATACCTTCTTATTTTCCGAATGGTTTAAAAAAATATCAAAATAGCACTATGCCAAATTTGTTTCGCTTCTCTTTTCTCGAATTTGCTACTTTTCAGTTTTATTATTATGGAACTGAATTTTTCATCTATAAGCTTACAAACTTCGTTTATAATAAGTAAAATCGTTTGTTTGGTTGTCAAACTTTTCTTGATGTGTGGGCGGTGTCTTTCTTTTAATTACAATAGAAATTCTTGTACAGCCCTGCAAAAAGAATAATGTATTACAATTTTGCCAATTGCAGCTTTTACATCATGCGAAAAACTCAATCTTAATGTGAAAATAAAACACGAGCGATTTTCCGCAGCGAAAATAAAAATTCATTTAGAATACACAATAGTTGGAAAGATATTTACAATCGACTTGAGACATAACAAAAACGCTAAACTTTTTAGAGGGAAAAATTTCTTGGTGAAGTGTTGAGCGGTAAATATCTTTTGTACTGTCCGGTCAGTCTATATGCATACATACCTATTAGATAGTTTTTTATACATCAAGCAAAGTTTGACAACCAAATTCGACGACTTTGAAATTGGATGAGATTGATTTTTACACGTCAAGCATTATTTGATCAAATCTGATATCAAATTTAATTTTTTTTTATACATATGGAAGTATATCCATATTATAATGCAAAATGATATATAAACGTCCAATCAAATTAAGCAAAATCGAACGAGAAAAATATGATCTTGTCCAATTGTTTGGACCTAATAATACATTATTAGATCCATGTTGAATTCTTATCAGTTTCTTTGACAGAAATAAAATAATAAAATGGCGAGAATACATTTTTCTCGTTTTGTACGGTGTGATTAGCTGCTTTTTGTAATTAGTTGTATGTTGATCAGCAAAGTTTAGTATTTTAAAAATTATTGTTTATACTTAGTTAAATTATTTTTTAAAAAGTTTTGGAAAATTTATATTAAAAATATCTCAAAAAAATATTAGTTGTAACAATTTATTTCAATTTATTACATCATCCGAAAACAAAAGAATGCTTATGGGATATTGAATCTAAAGATTATAAAAATGTTTGTAAAAAAATTAAATTTAAGTTATTTATATTTACTTTGATTTAAATTTTTTTTTCTTTAATTTATTTTAAAATATTTATTTTTCACTTATTTTTCCTTTAGTAATAAATCAGTCACACTTTCATATAAACATAGATATATCCGATATGAAAAAGAAAAAAATTTAATTTGACAACATATTAGATCAAATAAAGTTTAATGTGTAAACATAATATTTTCTTATTCAATATCTTTCAGTCGTGGCCTGTTAAATTTTTGATGCATATGTTGGTGACAATAACGTTTTGTCATAAATGTCAAAATAAAAAAGTATTCAGTCTTAAAGAATTTTGTTGAATTTAATAATATACATTATTAGAATATATTTTTTATTTATTTTTAATAATTTCTTAATGAAGTGGCAATAAAAATGATTGTAAGATCTTTTTACAATATGAAATTTTAGTCAGAAAATTAATTTAAATGGAGAAACATTTTTGGTTTTGACACGTTGAGATAAAATTTTATTAAAATTATTTGAATTTATTTTTTGCAGAAGATATTCTTAACTTTAATCGGCATTTCTAAAATGACCTACGGTTTTTACGTTCCAGGTAATTTGAAACATTGCATTTTAAGTAAGTTTTATTTTGTAAGTGTTTAATTCCAGGTGTGGCTCCAGTTGAGTTTTCTAAAGGACAGAAAATTGATGTAAAAGCTGTAAAAATGACTAGTAGTCGAACGCAATTGCCATATGAATATTACTCATTACAATTTTGTTTGCCAAAAAATGGTTTTACTTGAAAAAATCAGTAAAATTTAGTTTTTATTTTTTGTTCTCAACAGGTACACTTATATATAAAACTGAAAATTTAGGGGAAGTATTACGAGGTGATCGAATTGTTAATACTCCATACGAAGTTAGAATGGCAGAAAATATTAATTGCAAGTTATTGTGTAATAAGAAAGATCAACCAATGAACTGGGACCGAGAACAATCTAATAAGGTGTCAGAACGTATTCAACATGAATATTTTGTTCATTTGTAAGGTTTTTTTAAAAAAATTTTCATTATTGTGTACTAAATTTTATATTTAATGTTGAAATAGATTAGTTGATAATCTTCCTGTTGCGACTAGAATAATAAATCCAGAAACAATGGAATTACATTTTGAGCATGGATATAGGTTGGGGCAGATTGAGGGTGATAACACTTACATAAACAATCATTTAAAATTTATTCTTAAATTTCACAAACACGAAACTACGTATGTAAAATTAATTATAAAAAGATTCTTTTAGTTTTTAATAGATTATTTCAACATTGTTTTACTCATTTTAGAGGAAAATACAGAGTTGTAGGGTTTGAAGTAGAGACAATGTCAGTCAATGTCAATGAAATAAAATTTGAAGGGGAAGAATGCAATTTCCCAGACAATTCCAGACCACAAATGGTATATTCTGTTTTTAAACTTTGGTTTAAATTTGAAATGCTTTTTGCAGGTTCAACGAAATTCAAATACCCAATTATATTTTACATATTCTGTTGAATGGAAAGAATCAGAAATTAGCTGGGCTTCTAGATGGGATATATATTTGGGAATGAGCGATGTGCAAATTCATTGGTTTAGCATAATTAATTCTCTGGTTGTGGTGTTCTTTTTATCAGGTAAAATATAAATCCAAATAAAAATGTTCATTTTAATTTTGTTCGTTCTAGGAATTCTCACAATGATTATGATAAGAACACTTAGAAGGGATATAGCCCGTTATAACACAGATGATAGTATTGAAGATACTTTAGAGGAAACAGGTTGGAAACTTGTACATGGAGATGTTTTCCGTCCACCTCGAAATCCAAGACTTTTTGCTGCGGTTATAGGAAGTGGAATCCAAATCTTTTTCATGTGTTTAATAACTATATGTGAGAACAAATATTTCAATATAAATAATGTTGTTAAATTATAATTTTCGCTCCGTTTAGTTTTTGCGATGCTTGGAATGTTATCGCCTTCTTCAAGAGGTGCTTTGATGATTTCTGGGATATTCCAATATGTAGTTATGGGTCTAATAGCCGGATATTTTTCAGCACGTTTATATAAGACGATGAAAGGTAGAGAATGGAAAAAGGCTGCATTTTTGACAGCTACACTGTATCCCGGAATAGTTTTTGGGTAAAGTTGTAATTCCTGGGTATGTAATATAATTGAAACAAAAAATTTTCAGCACTGGATTTTTTTTAAATTTCTTTATTTGGGATAAACACTCGAGTGGAGCTGTGCCTTTTAGTACAATGATCTCTTTACTGCTACTTTGGTTTGGTATCTCACTGCCACTTGTTTATCTAGGATATTATTTCGGCTATAGAAAACATCCATACCAACATCCAGTGAGGACAAATATGATTCCAAGACAAATTCCCACTCAGCATTGGTACATGAACATTTTTTTGAGGTGTGTTTATTTTATTTTTTTATTTCAAATGGTGAATATCTTTTTGTAATATATTCACAGTACTCTAATGGCGGGAATTTTACCTTTTGGAGCCGTTTTTATAGAGCTCTTTTTTGTGTTTACAGCTATTTGGCAAAACCAATTTTATTATCTTTTCGGATTTTTATTTTTAGTTTTTTGCATTTTAGTTGTGAGTTGTGGTCAAATATCAATTGTGATGACTTATTTCCAACTTTGTGGAGAGGTATTTCTTATTGGAATGGCGAGATTTCTTTGACTAGTTTTTTTTATTTTCATAGGACTATCGTTGGTGGTGGAGAAGTTTCGTTGTTTCGGGCGGATCGGCAGTTTATGTTCTTCTTTACAGCATATTTTATTTTTTTACCAAACTTGAAATAACAGAGTTTATTCCAACTCTACTTTACCTAGGCTACACGGGTGAATAATTTTATTTACAAATAAATTAATATTTTTCTCAATATATAAAAATCATATATTTTCAGGGTTAATAGTGGTAACCTTTTGGTTATTAACTGGGTCAATTGGTTTCTTTTCGGCGTATAGCTTTATACGTAAAATTTACGCAGCTGTTAAAATTGATTAAATTCTTAAGTTAAAGAATATAAGTACATAGTTATAAAATTTAAATTTAATTTTGTTCACATAGAAATTACCTTAATTTCATAAATAAGATTTTAAATTTATTCGAAAATTTTTACATACACAGGTAATAATTATTATCTGCTTTTTTAAATCCAAATGTGGTTTTGCTAGTAGATTTTTATAAGTTTTAAAAAATTATTTAAAAATCAAGAAGTATTTTATTTTTATTTCAAAGTTTTACTTTATGTCAAAATAATTTGAAGTTATGTATATACATATGTATATAAAAATTCATTGGATATATCAAATTTTGTAAAAATTTTGACCTATGTTTAATATAAAATTAAATATATTAATGTAAAAAGATGGAGAAAAATTGTTTTAATCTTTAAGTCTAACTAATCTCAATTTTGACTGAGCATACAACAAAAATTTAAAAAAACATCAGTTTGATAGGTAAAATTAAATAAACTTAGAGGCAAATAAAATTTTAAGAAAATATTTATTTAAAATTATTTTTAGTATTTTTAAGTTCTAGTTTACATATAATATTTTGCATTCGTCATGATGTACACAAATTATTCTTATATTTTTAGTTGATTTAATTTGCAAGATTCTATTCTACAAGTTAAAATAAATGATAAATTTAATTTATGTATAATGATAAATTGTATTCGCGTTGTAATCATATATTTTTAATAATATAACAAGTATTTAAATATAACTTTACATTTTATTGTTTTGTTATTTTAAAGTTAAATATCCCTCTTCATTATACAAGTTAATGATCACAGCCATTATGTATATTTTTGATTTAATTTATTTAATTGATAATCTCTTTCAGTTTTGCGCTTGATTTTTAGCATTGGAAAATTTGTTTTTTCAAAGGTACTCAATTAAAGTTTCGCTAAACACTAAAATTTTATTAAATGAAATTTTACTATGTTAAGGAATTTCATTTCCCGTTTGAACTACAATTTTAAAAGATGAATATTTGGCCCAAAAAAATATTGATACATACGTATATGTACAAATGCATATATATATATATACATATAAACGTTGAGATTTGTTTTCTTATCAATTTCTTCCATATGAAAGTTGTAAAAGATTTCAATGTTTGATTTTTATGAAAAGTATTTAAGAAGATTCCAAAAAGCATGTTTCTCAGATTATTTATAAATAACCATATATATATTTAAATATTTTAATTATTCGAAGATCACAAAGTGAAATTTGTATTTCAAATTTTAAACCATGAAAAAATTTCTTTGCATATCAATCTAAATGAATCAATTTATGAAAATTAAGGGCAATTTTCTAATTTTTTAAAAATATTTAATTCTTATTTTATTTGAAGAGATGTTTGAAATTAATTTTGTACTAAAATTAACGCAAAATCTAATAAATTAAAGCTATCATTACTTTGAAATTAGATATGTACAGTTTTTATTTTCGAGTTTTAATAATTCTTCTTGTTCTTAAATTTCCTTTTATGTTAAATTATTTCCCTATGTAGTCAAATTTCCTATTTTTTGTTACTAAAAAATTGCAAAATTGAAAATAGTTCGCAGTTTACATGACTGTATATTTATTAAGAGATTAACACTTATATAATAAAGATAGTAATAATAGTATCAAAAACAAAACTATTAGACGATAAATAATTATTGTAAGGCTAAGGGAATATTAAAAGGCTAAAGATCACAATATTTAGAAAATTAATTAAACCTAATACTTATTTTAAAATTGCCATTTTTATTTTAAGTATTTTAATATTCAAAATTAAATAAACACTTAAAGCATTTAAGAACACGTTATCATACAAAATTAATATTTTTTTAGAAGATTTAGATCTTAATAAATTTGTTTGTATAATTTCGAAAGCTAAGAAAAGCATAATCTTCTCTAAATTCGTATTGATTTTTTTAAAATTTTACTGTGATTTGCTAAGTATTTCATTGCAATTTAACAAAAGTTTATAAAACGATAAAATTTTATTAGCTAACTACATAAAATTACATACACATTTTTTAATCTTTTAGTATTTTTGCTTTAGAACAATACAATATTTTTAAATAAATTTATATTTTGATTCGAAAATGAATCCATTTATTTGGAAAAATAATTTTTCTTCAATTTAATTTTGAACAATTTAATTAATCATTAACACTATTCTCTTTCTTATTTAAGCTTATTAAAATTATTTAGTTTTATTTAGATTTTAAAATTTTACTAATAATGTTTCTATTCAGGCAATAGCAGATGATGATGTAGTTATAGTCTGATTCTTAGGCCCAAAATCGGCGATTCTGAAAAATATAGGATAATTTTTTTTATAGCAATTGCAGTTAGTTTTTACGATATTGGACAATTCATATGCAAAAAAAAAATATGTTATAAAAATATGATCATGTAAATGATGTGTATCTACAAATAAATTATAAAGCACACAACTCAAAGCTCAAGCTAAAAGTATTAACTAAAGTGAACACAAATAAAATTTACAAAATAAATTCCAAAATTGTTACGTATGTATTTGAAAAAAAATGTAAGATATTTAAAAATCAACATTTAATAAAATGTAAAATTTTAGTTCATTTTGCATATTGAATTCAAATAAAAATCAACAAGCTTTTCGATAATTTTTTATAAGCGAATACTGCGTTTTTGTTGCCAACTTTTTATGTGTATTCACACATATTATGGTATTTTAAATTTTAAATGAAAAAAAACATCAAAAATTAGAAATTAAAGTAAAAAAACATATGTAAGTGAACTAATTTCCATTTTGAAGTGAAAAAATTGCATTAACAAGGAAGTGTTAACAAGAATTAACAATTAATTTTGCAAAAAATTATTTTCGGAATTAAATGACGCATTTGTGTTGTGATGCTTTACCTATAAATGGATGATGCTGATGTTGATCTTGACCAAGTTACCAGTAAATCCTCACCTCTTCTTTTTGCCTTTTTGTTTTGTAATAAAACATTTGTACTGTCATCAGGAAAGAAAGTAGTTTGTAATGTTCTAAAAAGCAACCTGTAAAAAAACAATCAAATAGATAATAAACTAACAAAATTATAATGTTAATTACCTGGGAACAACTGCAATAGCTGCTGTAACAAATATAATCAGCCAATAAATAGGTGAACAGAAACACTTGAAAATAACCCAGTAAGTTGACGGTAAACCAAAGCAGGTCACACACAATGAATTATAAACCATAGCGAATAAAAAGAAAGATACTAAACTAAAAGCTATTGACAAGGCATGAAGTATTGTCTATTTAAATTAAGAAATAAAATTAAAAACTCATTATAAAATGTATAATAAAAAAAATTAGATTCACCCAGGATCGAATTTCTATAGCCCCATGAATAAGCATAGTAATTAAACATGATGTTGTAATTGTTGTACCAAATTCCCATATGTCTACGTCACTTTCCCAATAAGCAGATATAGCAATGAAAAATATTATTAAACTTTGATACAAGGCATCCAGCATTATAACCCAAAACGTGTGCGGCTTATATGCCAAGCCTAATCGGCCCTGCAATTTTAATAAATTATTAACACTTTTGAAATGTTTTTAATTTTTTTTTACGTTTTTGTATAAATAGGGATTCGTTAAAAGTAAATCCTCAGGAACACTTTTATCATACACTCCAATTGCAAGAGGAGGTAGTGAGGTAAAAACTAAGTTGTATAACATCAAATACATTTGATCGATCATTACAGCGCCTGAAAATCCACAGTACAGTTGGAACCAGAAAAGAAGAAATACGAAAGCCTTTGTAAATAAAATTAAGATAGAAAATTAGTTTTTCCTATGTTTTTAATATTTTACCGCATTTTTATAAAAGAAATACAAAATCATTCTAGCTAGTCGGTCATAGCACCAATATCCATGTGATAGTAGCAAACGTTCCAACAGTCGAAATCTTGCCAAAGAAAAATCAGATGCCATTACAGCTTGCATACCTTCTTGTCCTGATATGCCAACACCAACATCAGCCATTTGAATCATCGACACATCATTAGCCCCGTCTCCAATTGCTAATGTGCTTAAATTTAATTCTTCTTTAACAATTTTAACTAAATATGCTTTTTGTAAAGGTGTAGATCGGCAACATAAAACCGAAATACAATGTTTAGTCAATTTCAAAAATGGACGAGTTAAATTAGACCTGAATATTAAAATTTTTCATTATTCATTCCTTTTTTATTTAAAATACCCTCACAAAAACACAAAATTACCTTAAATCTAATATAAAAGTCAAGGTTTTCCCATCAACAACTAGAGCTTTGGGTTTGATACGATTCGCTGAATAATTTTGTGTCGCGTCGGTTATTTGCTTTTCAATTTCAGACAAAAAAAATCTTATAGTACTCTCAGCTGCATCTCGAGATCTGGCTGTTAATCTGCGGAATTTGATAAAATTGTTATGAGGAAATTTCAATTATATCAAAAGCTGCGTAGTAAAAAATATATACCTCAATATTTCCATTTGTGAATTAAATAATTTGGCTGAGTATGCAACATTAATTGCGGTTTCCGGTTTATCTCCAGTCAGCACCCATACTGCAATTCCTGAAAGAAATGTTTCTTTAGATTTAATGTCATTCCGAAGAAAAATCCAAATACCTGCTGCCAATAAAGAAGCTATACATTCTGGAACGCCATCTTGCAATCTATCTTCAATTCCAGTTGCACCTAAAAGAGTTAAATTACTTTCCAACTTGGCAAATGATTCTTTAAGTCTTTTTTCTCGATTTTCTAGGGATAATTCAATCTGTTGATGTCTAGCCCACCAGTCCGTGTATTCGCTTGATTTTAATTTTTTTTTAGCCATTACGAGTACACGAAGACCTTCTCGAGCATATAAATCTAATTGTTGCTGGGTTTTTTCGCGTAAAATTCCTTAAAATTTTTTTTTAAATATTTTTTTTGTTAATTTATTTTCTATTTTATTTTTTCTTACCTTCTGAGGAATCAGGTAAGCAATGTGACAGACAGGGCATTATCGATGTATCAGCGCCCTTGGTGTACAAAATAATCTCTTGCGAGCCAGTTTTTCTCACGACTACTGACATGCATTTTCGATGTGAGTCAAATGGTAAAATTTTAAGTACCTCATATTCTAAAATACCGGAACCGGGCACATTTACTAAAATATGATTTGGACTACGGTTAAGTAAACAGCAATCATAACTGTAAGCTGCATTAACTAAAGCTAATTCGTCTGGCGACTCCGCTTCAAAAATTGGTCTACCATCTACTAATTTTTTGAAACCTCTTTGCCCAATGGTATTCCTATAGAGAAAAAACATCAGTAAAATAAAATGATCAAAATAAAACATACTTTAATTTGTTAGCTAATCTTTTTGCATGTCCCTTTGCATTTAAAAAAGATGTAATTGTAGTCAATTTTGAATTTATTATTGTTCTTGCTCTGCCTGAAGGAGATGAAGTATTCAGAATGTTCTTCAATTTCATTGGCGGACTTTCTGTAGTTGGCGATGATTCTGCGGAGCTACTGATTGGAGATAATGATGGAATGTGATTTTGAGTTGGTAACGCATATCCACAATTAGGAGGAGGCGATGGTGTTATTGAACGTGATTCTGTAAGCCTTGTATATCTGTCAACTGGTATTAAACTATTTGTATTCGTCACTTTTAAATTATTATCATTCGATGTTGCAACACAGTTTGTGTTTAAATTTAAGGTTAAAATAGGAGCGGTTGAGTTAGTGGTCATTGTTGTACGTGATGATGTTCCACTTAGACCATCTTCACTATCATTGTCTACTATTGCCGTTGTTGTTGTAGATGTTGAAGTTTTATTGTTTTCTTGAATTTGTGTTTCAATAACGCCACTTGCATTCATTGAATCCCGATGAGGTGTCGCACTTACTACTACTGTATTACAAATAGCTAGGACTACAAAAAATTCTTGAATTCGTTGTGCGTTTTGAGTATAAAACTGGCAATTTGTCTTAAGGTGTTCCAATTCATTTAACAAATTTTGATTAACAATTAACGGAGGTGCTGGAGAGCCTGGTTTCGAATAAATCTTTTCTAATTCTGAAGGGGGATGATTATAATCAATGCCATTAATAGTACAACGGCGAAACAGCATTTTATTTTCCGTCAAAGTACCAGTTTTATCTGAAAATATATGCTGAACTTGACCAAGCTCTTCTGTAATATTCATAGCTCGGCACTCAGTCTTTTTGTTTGTATCATGATCGAATAAATCTTTATTGTTATGTATATGATAAACTTGTAAAATTTTACAAAATTCTATTGTAACATAAAGTGATAACGGTATCATAACTTGTAATATAATTATGAATGTCCAAAAAGTTAATAAACCTTCATAATTTGGTTCAACTTCAAAAGGCAAATAAGGAACTGGAAAGTATTCAAACGTACTAAGCCACATTTTACAGCCAACTGCACCGATAACACATAATAACAATAAGATTATCACACACCTTAAATGTAAGAAAAATAATTTGTTATTCTTTTTCTTTTGTTGCAATTTAATATAAATATTTATAATTAAACCTTAAAAAATTAAATCTTACCATATCACATCTATATTCATTTGCTGCTCTAATTGTGAGCGCTTATATCTTGGTCCACTATTATTTAGCATAGATTTCGTCTCATGACCAGCATATACAACTATACCCTCAATAAAATCTGTATTCTGTTAAAATAAAAAATGTGCAAAAAAATTTAAATGCAAATTCAAATGCAAATTCGAAATTTACGAAGTAAATTGAATATTTTTATTTATCGTTAAATGATTGTTTAATATATTTTGAAATACTATAAAGGCGAATAGCTACTATATTATTTGCATATACTACAATTTATCAAATGAATAATGTTACTTTGTTATCTGCTATTTATACATATTGTACATACGTTGCTTTAAACTTCCATTTTGAGGATGTTATAAAATAAACATCTATTGAAATAGAGCTTTGATTATTTTATTAAATTTTTGCAATTACCTTAAAACTCAACATGCGTTATCTCGAAAGATATTTATATTCTGTACATGATTTGGAGAAAAACAAAGAAAAAATCGCACTTCTTTATGATATTAAACTTTTATGAAAAAACGTTCAGTTTTCCCTCAAAATTTTGACGTCAACCGTATACATGTAATTAATATGTTATTAATTAACTTCAATTACCTCTAATTGAGAAAAGAAAATGTCAAACAGAATTTTTTCAATCTGATTTTCTTCAATACTTTAAAACCACTCATAAATACAATAATCAAACTAATATTAAAAAGATTTAGAGTTCAAAATTTCAACGAATAACATGGGCAGTAGATAGGGTTATAACAGACAGAAATATGTGGAAATGTCTGGCAAAGTTAATTCCTTCTTTTGGTTAAATAATTCCGTTGATTCCTCACGTGCGATATATGTATACATATATGCGTGTGTATGTACATATACAGTATATCATAATTATATTGCTAATATTTTCTAGTTATTACTCATTTTCAATATTGTACTTAATAGAGATAGTTTCCGTTTTACCTTTACAATAAATAACTTTAGCACTAGTAAAAGGAATGCGTAAAAGACAGAAAGTAATGTTATACGCACGAGATAACTAAGTATGTATAATATTTTTTCTTACCTTTAAACGACTTTCTCTTAATAATAAACTTTCAGTTGAAAGAGGCACACGTTCACCTGAAGGATGTATCAAAGCTCCATGAAAGCGATAAATTTTTGTAGTTGGTGCATCGGCTTCCACACGACTCACAAATTTACTTGGAGTAAATATATGTTGTTTTTCGGTGAAACCACGAACTACCTATAGGTGTATTATATTTTTTACTCTACCTCAAAATCAATATTTTTAATTACAATTACCTCACGTCGTTTGAGATTAGTTTCGCCATCTAAATCACAGGTATCAATATAGCATATCCCATGTGGATCACTTGTCCTTAATAACAGCATATCCGCGGGAACAGTTTCATTATTTGATAAATGAACCAAATCCCCAACACGAATTTCTTGCCATAAAACTTTTTTGTATCTTTCAGATTCTCTGTAAAAAAACATAAATGTAGTTATTAATTTCGAAATTAGGAATCAATTTGAAATTTAATGAACCAGAAATTTCCGAAATGTATTTGATATTTCAACTTTTTTTTAAAACTAATGCGATAAGTGAAAATAATTGTTAAGTAAGGCGACATTTATTCTGTTAAAATATCAAAAAATTATATTGTAGTAAAATGGGAACAAAATTCCGTTACCGATGCTGTAATTCTGATATAATTCATAAAACCAATAATTCGTACGGGTATAACAGAACTAACACTGTAAACATTACTTATTCCCGTTTAACACTTGTAATATAATTTCCAAGTCGTATTATTTACCATTTATGTATTTGTATGTTTCGACCTTTTATGCAACTTTATGCAACTGTCTCTCCTACTTTAAAGAAATTTTAAACATTTTTCTAATTTTGCAAATGCAGAAAAGTTGCGACTGTCTTCTTCTACCGTGGCACAGCATTATTAGTGTTAAAAAGAAAAAAAATATTTGAAATTGTTTTTCTTCTATACAATTCCTTATGCAATTGGTTGTAGTAGCCTGAAATTTTAACAGCTTTTAGATAATAATAAATTGTAGTTTATTTCGATAGAATAAAGTTATTTTTCACCTTATCCCCTCTGTACATATCGTTTGTCGAAATTTGTAAAATTAAAATTTTTTGCGCCTTATAATTTAAAAACTTCAAGCTTTTCCAAATTTCTATAAATTCAGAAAGCTAACATTAAACGCCATGCCATCGAAAATCATGAATCTTTTTAATAACTGATGCAAACTACCCTTAAATTCGAGCATTAAGAGTTTGGTTCACTCTAAATGTATACAATATTTGAAATATTTCGGCACTTGGATGAAAGTAATCTATATTATATTATAATTATTATACAAATCAAATCAAATGACGCAACCATCGAATATTTTCGCTTATATTTTTTATCATCAGAAGAATAACATAGAAAAAGAAAACGAAAAAAACAAAAAAAAATAATTCTGAATTCTGCCAACATTTAAAGTATGTACATATATCATACTAGTCGTGTGTGCTTGCATTGCAAGCCTTGCAAGTATGATGCCTGTAGTTTTGAAATTGTTTTCTGCAAAATGAATAAAATCAGCACATATGTAAATATAATCGTGCATGAATCATATTATCCGTGGACACTTCTTTTGTTTACAAAACTTCTATATCCTTGAAGATAGAAAGCTGAAATTTAATATGCACATAGATATTTACTAGAACAAAATTTTTACCTTCCTCCCCTCCTCTAGAAGTTATACCCCCCAAAACCCTAAAAATGGCCCTTTTTAAATATTTGTTGCAATGAAACCATAAGCATTTTTGAAATTTTGCAAACGAAGAAAGGCAGTGAATTGCTTCTCCTATCGCGGCATACTACTGTTAAACTTTAGAAAAACAAAATGGCTGTTCAAATTTATAATTATGTAAAGTTCTTTTTTTTTTTTCAAATTTTTGATATCGTTTTTCTTCTAAACCCCAGCCTGTAGAAGTTAAAAATTTTAGGGGCTTTTAGACATTAACAAATAGTTCATTTTTGTTTCAGAAAATTTTTTCCATCTCCACCCTCTCTCAAGTTACCGCCTCTTGAAATTTGTAAAATTTGAGTTTTTGACACCTTATATTTCCGAAACCGCAAGCTTTTTCAAATTTCTATAAACGCAAAAAGCTAACGCTAAATTCCGTGACGTTAAAAAATATAATTATTTTTCTTAACTCACATAATTCAACCTTAAAAATCGAGCATTATGTTAACCCTACATCATATTAATTTTTGCTTTATTTCAAAGACTGCATATTTGCATCATCCTAAATATGTATATGCAAACAATTGGTTTGACCCAACTTTATTTATGTTTGGTTTTACTCATAAACGTAAGTAGCCAAAAAAGTTTTTATGCGTTTATACAAAGTGTATCTATTAATAAGCAGTTCAACTCGTTCCATTCCGTTATTTTTTGTTTGCTTGCCATTGCCACTTCCAAAATCTTAAAATATTTCATTTTTCTTTAGAAATAGGTGATAGTAAGAGTTGTGTAGGCAAGAAAGAAACAAACGAGTGTTTCAAAAACATTGAACTGAAATAAAATTAAATTAAATTAGGTAAAAATTTTATTTTGATAACAAAATTTTTTTTTCATATTTTATTTTTCATTTCATAAAAGTTACATAGGTAAAAACATTCGAATGTATGAAAGTAATAGTTATAAATTTAATATTTCATACTTTGTTATACGGTCTATTCAAGGTATATACACAATATGATGTAGTAATATGTATGTAACCCGTATATATGGCTGCTTCAAACTTATTATTGTCTATATAAAAGTTACTTGACCTGAAGCCGGCTCGCTTGAATCGCTTACTTGACTTGAAATGTTAAGAATGATTTGAAATTTAATAGCTAAACGTTGTTTCTTTGTTTTTAAGCTAACATAGTAAAAACGCAGCTTGAGTTTCGAGCTGATTTCACGCCAAGCCGTAATGTAGACGAGGCACAGATATTAAGCAATTTATAAAAAAAAAGCCTATTATATTTAAATTTTTAAAACAAAATTGAAATAAAAATTCATATTTTATCTTAAATAAATGTAATGACAATTACTAATTAAAAATTTTAAGTTGTTTGTCTTTTTCAAATTACATACATATAATATGTAAATTATAATTTTTTTTTATTTAAATAGTCAATTTTGTTTTTTAAATCGCTTTGCTTTTATAATATGGATACACCATTTGGGCCACCTTGTACTGGAATAAGTTACAGGAATAAAACTCCTGCTTTTAAAATTCTTAACCTTTTTTTCTATACTTTATATACCAACAAATAAATAACTCCCGCTTTTAAGAATACATTATAAAAAAAACAGGTAGACATCCATTGCGTACTTTTTCCCTCTCCCAAAAATTCTTATGTGTATAAAAATGAAAATAAAAAGGTATACTGCTTAACTCTTTTAGCTAAGGGAATTTTTTTTATACAAATATTGGTGAGTGATTGCATTAGTGTGATGTAAACGAAGAGTCAACTACTTCTTTATAGATATACTTTGGCATTTATAGTATGTTATAATAGAAAAATTATATATATTTAAATGTGTACATATGTTTATAATAATCGGTGATCAACACATCTGACATAATGTAAATACGGGCCAAGGCAAAAAATACGGGCAAAGTTTACAATTTTGCGCATATAAAGAGAAAAAATCACCCAATTTCCATGAAATTTAATGTTTACAATCGGGATGTTAACACCATGAACTTATAAATTTTTTGGAAATGTCAGGGCTCGGAAATCGAACAAGGGGATTTGTTATCATACCTACGAAGCTAATTGATGAAATTTCTTAAAATTAAAAGTTTGAGTTCTGTTTGGTACCGAAACTAACTGACGAATATTTCTAGGAATGTTAATTAAAAATATACTAAACTCCTTAAATTTTTGAGCAGTATTTAAAAGGCATTTTCGTAGTTTCATGAAACATTTTAGCTAAACTAGACAATATTTTGCGGTCATGTGTTCGTATCAGATTATTACCGACCGTATTGTGTAAACAATAGGTAGATTATGTGATAGCAACAAATTTTGCATATCGAGTTTTCGGTGGGAATGCACTTCACCATAGTAGGGAAGTGTAAATAAACTATTTTTAGCAACCTGTCGATCCATCGGTCTGTGGGTCTGTTGGCCTGTGTGTGCACGTGTGTATCTCAAGTTCGGCTGAACCGATTTTGTTGAAATTTTATATGTAAGTTTATTTCAACCATGGCACGGATTGATCAACTTTTCGTAGATATCAGGCCTCGGGAACTGCACTTTTTAGCGGGCCTGTTTTACATTTTTGAACATTTTGAAGAAAATATTCAACCGATTTACTTGAAATTTTATATATAAGCTTAGCTCGACCGTCCGCAAAACCTGCTAACTTTTGGAAAAAATCAGGCGTCAGCACCTGGACGTTTACTACGGGCCAAAAATACATTTTTGCGTATATAAAGAGAAATAATCAACCGATTTCATTAAAATTTAATATTTAAATTCTTCGTATTAGAACAATGAACATATAAATTTTTTTGGGAAGATCAGGGCTCGAAAATTGATCTGCGAGCCGCTTTTACATTTTTAACCACGACTACGGAACGATTAAATGGAATTTCTTGAAATTCGGGTAGCACAAAGCGAAACTCTACTAAAAGCCAAATTTACATTTTTCTAGGTATGTTAACTATAAGCTTACTAATGTCCTAAAAATTGGAAAGAAGTATTTAACAGACATTTTTATAATATTCTGTAACACTTTCCCTTAACTAGACAATACACATTGCGGTCGGTTATGTGCTGACCACATCAGATTTTTTTTTGATGTAAATCAACATAATGCTTGCAAAATATATTATAAGATAAAGTTGGGTCAAACCAATGTTTTGTATTGTAGCACTTTTCCCTTCAACAAGTGAAAATTCTGCTTTTAAATACAGTTTATGTATACCTACCACATATACAAAACTATTTCTAGGATTGCATATATTTAGAATGAACGATTTATGCAGTTTTTGAAATAAAGCAAAAATTAATATAAAGTGGGATTAACATAATGCTCGATTTTAAAGTTTAATCGTGTGAGTTAAGAAAAATAATTATATTTTTTAATGTCATGGAATTTACCGTTAGCTTTTTGCGTTTATAGAAATTTGAAGAAGCTTGCGTTTTCGGAAATATAAGGTGTCAAAAACTAAAATTTTACAAATTTCAAGAGGCGATAACTTGAGAGGGAGTGGAGATGGAAAAAAATTTTCTTCTAGCGAAATGAACTATTTGTTAATGTCCAAAAGCCCCTAAAGCCCCTAATTTCAAGCTTTTACAAGCTGGGGTTTAAAAGAAAAACGACATAAAAAATTTGGAAAAAAAGGACTTTAGATAACGGTAAGTTTGAACTGCCATTTTGTTTTTCTGAAGTCTAACTATA